CCGACGCGCGGCTCCCCCTGCCGGCGGCGTGCGGCGCGTGGGGCCCCCGGCGCGCCTCTCCCGCCGTGCGAGGCCCCGCTCCCGCTACGAGTCCTGTTGCTAACTGGGAATTTCCGCCCGCGCTCAGAGCGTCATGTCTTCGCGGGCAGGGGGCGTTGGAAGGAGGACGAGACCCCGAGTGCGGGCGAAGATGGAGGCGCGCGCCCAGGACCCAGACTGGGACAGTGATGAGACGGTGGTGGAGGGCTCGGTGACGGAGAGCGACCCGGAGGAGGAGGAGCTGCCCTGGAAAAGGTGCCGGCGGCCCCGGGGTTGGCGTCGGGAGCGGGCAGGGTGAGGGGCCGTGGGGCCTGCGCGAGCTTGTCCGGAGGCCAGAGCACGAGCCCGGCCCGCAGCCCGGGACAGAGTGAGCTTCGCAGTGGCGGCCTCACGGCGGTTCCGGCAAGGCTGGAGGCCTGCCCTCCGCACAGGCCCAGCAGGCTCGGCTCTTAACTGCTCCAGCGCCCTTTGCTTCGGCGGCTGTAGCTCAGGTCTGGGGGATGGTTAGTGTCTCTCGGGAGCGTGTGTGGTGGGGACTGGATGCTTCCGGGCTGGAAACGGGTGGTCTTCCGAGGATGCCCCACAGCCGGTCGTTCGTTCCTCAGACTTGCTTGAACGTGTCGAGTCCCCTGTGCTGGATGCGGGGACGATAGAGGACGGGAGTCCACTGCCGTTGAGAAGCCTCCAGCCGGGAAGGACGCCCCAGCAGATCGTGTCAGTACGATGTGGGGCGTCCAGCCAGGGGAGGGTGCCCAGGCTGCTCAGGAGCCGAGGGGCTCTTAACCGCGGTGGTCGTCAGAGTTTGCCGGCGTTGACTCCTGAATAGAGGCGCGACGGTGGGCCGGGAAGTGGCCAGATGGAGAGGAGGAGGTGTGCTAGAGGGGCGCTGCAGGGCGGGACAGAGCCTTGTGTCACGTGTGCCGCGATGTACAGACAGTCGGGTCTTGCCGCAGCGGTCGAGGGTGCGGTGGGGCGCGGTGAGAGAGGAGCCTGGAGCGGGCGGTGGGGGAGGTCGTGTCAGCCCTCCGGTGCGCTGCGTGTGGCCCGGAGGGGTGCTTGGAAGATGTCACGTGGAGGAGCGGCATAACCTGATTTTCGTTCCCTCTGGCGCGCCCTCGACCAGTGCGTTTCAAATTTCAGCGCCTTTACAGATCACTCCAGAATGCCGTTAGAATGTGGATTCCGATTCAGGAGTTCTAGGGTGGGGTCTGCGATTCTCCATTTCTGACAGGGTGCTGTTAGAGCACGGATCGCCTTTTGCAAAGCAAGGCTATAGAGGTTACTCTGGGCATCAAAGTAGTAATAGACTGGGATTATGAGCTCAACTAGGAGGAAACAGTGGGAATGGAGGGAAAAGGATAAATTTGAGAAATCTTAGTAAATTTGGCAGGAGTTGGTGGTCGATAAGATATGGAGGATGGGGGAAGGGTGGCAGTAAAGGATGCTACCCAGGTTTCTGGCTCATTTATATGTAGTCACAGTAATATTTGCCCTTGTTGGTGTACAGGGAGCCTTTTGACTAATACATGGAGTTTTGTAACAACCACTATAATCAGGATCCAGAACAGTTCCGTCATTCCGAAGAAAAACTCCCTTGTGCTGCTGCTTTGTAGTCAAGCCCCTTCCCCCCCATTTAAACCATTGTTCTGTACCGGTCTCTTTCTCCTCTCCTTGTGTGGCTTTAAATGACATGAATGTTACACCTTTTGATATTGTCTCCCAGATCCTTGAGGCTCTACTAATTTTTTAAAATTTTTTTCTCTGAATTCTTCAGACTGTATAATTTATATTCTATCTTCAGGTTCACGTACTCTTTCCTTTGTCATTTCCATTCTGTTGTTGAGCCCATCTGGTGAATTTTTAATTTCAAATATTACAGTTTTCTCTTCTAAAATTTCCATCTGATTCTCTTTCATAGTTTTTATTTCTCTGCTGAGAACTCCAGTGTTTTCATCCATTTGAGGAGTGTTCACCTTTATCTCATAGGGAAGATTATAATAGCTGCTTTAAAGTGTTTGCCTTGTAATTCCAATGTCGGAGTCATGGCGAGTGGGGAGTTGGCATCTGTTAATTATCTTTTCTCTCAAGAATTTGTTAAATTTTTCTGTTCTTTGCATGTTGAGTAATTCTGGATTATACCCTGTATATATTGAATATTATATTCTAACTCTTGGTCCTGTTAAAATCCTATAGAAGATGTTGATTTTTGTTTGTTTTAATAGGCAGTCAGCCTGATTAGGTTCTGACTGTACATTCTGTTTTCCTTTCCGTGAGTGGTGGTTACATCAGTCCAATTTTCAGAGCCTTTACTATGCTGTTTGAGTGTAACTCTTGTACCACTCGGGTGTTATCTGGAACTTGGGCAGTAGTTAAT